ATTCACCATGTTTGTAATTTTTTGCATTACAATAATATTCTGCTACATTCATATTTTGCAGTTTATTTAGTTATTCCCAATTAATGAATATCCATTTTGTTTCTAGTGCTTTATTACCACAAAAGTCCTGCTATACATATTTTGGTCTTTATAAAGTCTTTCTTTTTGTCAGCAATCTCCTTGGGGTATATGCTCAGCCTTACAATCTGAGTCAACAGGTACAGACATTTTTAGCCATCTTATTTGCATAATTCCAAATTGTTTTCCAAAATGGTTGTACTAATCCATGTTTCCCCAAACAATGTATTATTGTGCATTTCTTTCCCTACCCCCTCCAACCTTGACTATTCCTGTGTTTTGTCATCTTTTCTAATTTTCTGGTCTGAGGTATTACCTCAGCATTATTTTGGCTGGCATTTTTCTTATTATTAATGATTTGCAGCATTCTTTTCATATGGCTGTTAATAGTGTGCAACTGTTCTTTTGAGAACTGTTTGTTCATATCTATTGACCACTGATAAACACTAGTATTAATTTACCCTGGTATAAACCAGGATAAATTCTTGGGCACATGGCCAAGGGTTCAATCAAGAGTTGGTTTCTGAAAGTCATTTTCTCCCTCTTGTGGGCTTATTCATGAAGTTCCCTTTGCGCACAGTATAACTTTTATACTGGGCTCCCTGTAGAGTCTTGAAATCACCCTCCCTTAATTTGTTTAGAATTGATTGTCCTTGGCTCTTGATGCAGACACTGTGTCAACTGTTCCAGGAAAACTCCTAGGATTAGAATGACAATGAAAAAATCCAAATCTCTTGTCCTTTGAAGTTCACAAGATTTTCCTTGTGGTGTGGGTGGGGATAGGAGTGGTAGTGGTGGTGACCTTTGATAAAACTAAAACTGAAGCTGAGGCTGAGGCTCTTCTCTCTGACTCCAAGCAATGATTTTTAGAGACTTTGCTGAATGGCTCCTACCACTTAACTGCCAGTTGCTTGAATGCCCGATTCCAAATAAATTTGTTGATTTTATATGTGACCCACAGAGCTTGACTAAAAAAACATAATTGTAGCTACACTTATATTGTTTGAATGATTGATTGGTTGATTCATGGAGTTATCTAGGTCTTTTCAACAAAAACATTTCTTTTACTGGTGTTTCTGTATGGTAGGAAGACCTGGAACACCATTGTTTCCAAAGAATCAGACATGAGCAGCATCAGAAGGCAACAGAAGGCCGTGTAGTGGATGTGGCTTAGAGTGGGATGTAATGTTGAATTGATGAAGAATTCAGGAGAAGAACAGGAGTAAAGGATCTTACCAAAGAAGTACATGATAGACATTATGGACCCATAATGTGGCAAGAGCATAAGATGATAAATGAATGGCCAGAATGCTCCACTGATTGAGATATCCACCATCTAGATATCAGGAGACAGGAACAAAGAAGGCTTCTAGCACATTGTGGTGAACTTGGATGACAAATGGGTAGGCATAGCTGGTTTGTGATCATCTGTGTCAATGTATATCATTGGAAAGAACTCCCAAGGCAATGAAATAATAGATCCATTTGAGTATGTATGTATTTACATATGTATATATTATATAAGTAATCTATATATATGTTGTATACATATATAGATACACATGTATATATTTGATTGTTTACATACTATGTGTATATACACATAAATACATGTACATGTATGCACACAGATATATGATATACACACATACATATACATTGTATGTATATTATATATGTATATACACACAAATGTGTAAACACTCAAATGGGTCTGTTTTATGTGTTTGTGTGTGTGTGTATACACACACATACTAATGTGATATAATGAGTTAACAAATCTAGAAAAAAATGTATTCAGATATGACCACAGCCTTCCAGGGCTTGTGTTTCTCTTCAAATTTTTTATTGATGCCTTTTGTTTTTATATCATGGGCATTTCCAAATATACTCCTCTTGCCTAAAAAACTCCCTTGAGGTAAACTAAAACAGTTAAATGAAGCCAACTGAAATGTTCTGGAGCCAGCTTGAACTGGCTAGAAAGAGCTAATTGTTACATTTTCAGGGTGAGCATTTACACTTCGGAAATCAGCAAATGCTACAAATCAGGACTTAATTTATTGTTTTGTTGATTGTCTAGACATGAGAAAGTGATAGAGAAAATATTTATAATGCAAATTAAACTTAAATATGTGTCCAGCATACTTTTTCTTTTCCCAAAGTTGATTATTAAACATTTACCAGCACACCACTGATCTCATAGTGTATGTAGCATTTTTCACCTGTAGTCCCCTCACCTCTCTACTGAAAGGAGGGAGATGCTTCCTTTTATCTTCTCCATACCAAAATTCTATATTTAATTTCTGAAAGACAGACAGAAAACATCATCAACAATAACAAATCCCAGGTTCCTTTTCAATTCTGTTCTTGGGAATTTATGATGTTATTAAAAAAAGGGAAGGGGGGCTCATAAAATATGCTTTCATTTAGAGAAGTTCTCTAACATTTGGACCATGATTGAGATTCCCACAGTGAACTAGGAAGGAAGCTTCCTAGCCATTTTCTTTTTATATGCCTGGAGCAACCAGCGCTATCCTGCCATAACCCAGAATTCTAGCAAATTCACACAGGAAATTCATACATATACGTTGACCGCAGATATTTATGAGAAGCAAAACTAGGTCAGGAAAAACAAACAAACAAACTCAACAACAACTTACAGCAGAGTAAGGAAACAAGCTCTGAAATGGATACTAGGTGCCATCAATCTCTGTCTCTCTGGTAACTCCCATGAGTTCCCATGTCTCCTCTTTAGCCTGGGATGGGAAATTACATCATTGCTGCTGCTGTTGCGTGTTGCAGCTCCCAGCTTCTTCTCCTCCATCTGCTTTCTCTTTCTACACTGTTTTCTGTGATGATTCCAGGAAAGTTAAAACTAAACATCCCAGGGGTTATGTTTTTATTCCCTGGAGGAACAGATCAGCCTGTGGGGATGGATTCCAACAGATTCTAGATTTTCTGTGATTGAAGGAAATAGTGTACCCTTTAATAAACCCAGATTTGACATTCCCATTAAGATAGTGATGTGATAGTTTGAAAAGAAGCACAGTTCTCACACACATGCCCTAAAGGACCCCAGATAGAATAATGATGAACAAAACTAACGAGAAAGAGAAGGAAGCTCTTGTACCCAGTCTAGAACTGCACAACGAGATGGTCAGAGGTCAGAGAATGGAAGGGAGGAAAACTAGAATGAGCTCAGCTAAATAACTCTCAAGTCAGAGGACTCTTAGTCTGGGGACACCCTAGGGAAGCCAGCATAAACCTCAGAGAACAAACTGGAAGTTGGTAGAGTATGGGTAGTACCAGAGAAGACAGCATGAGCTCAGGTAATTGAGTCTGAAGCCCGATGGTGCTCTAAATGACTAACCTGCAAGGGTTAGGGGGAAGGGAGTTAAGTCAGCATGAATCCTGTTAATTGAGGATCTGAAGCCAGATCCCAGCCCTGACCTGTCAGAACATAAGCAAAAGATATAGCTTGTCCCCACAGGTCACAGTGCAAGGATACAGGTCATCCCTGTGCACTTCTTAAAGAAATGGGATCCACATCAGGGTCCAATCAGTTTGTGGGTGCCCAGGCTCCTTGGGAATCCTGAGATCAGTACAACCTCTAATTATGTGACTAAGGCTTGTCAACAATACAGAAGAAGACAGAATTAATTACTGATAGGGGATTCTGCAAATGTAAGAGACAAGTAGGACTGAGGCTAGCATCCTCAGTGGACCACCAGGATATTGAGACAGAAGTCAGAGACTGAGGCAGAGGGTGGGGTCTAGTGCCAGTCACTTCATTCATAATGGCAATGCCAGGAGCATGCAGATGACAGAGGTGAGAGGATCGATGTGACCCTATCCAAACGATCTGAGAGTGCTAGGAGTCAGAGCCTAGACTTGGCAGGGAGTTTAAATACAAGAACTGAAACTTGAAATATGAATAACTAGAACCCCCCCCACCAAATAATTGATACTATTGGTTAAAAGAAATAGGCAAAGTAAACCAAGAAGAGAATAATTCCACAACAAATACAAGCAAAACTTCAGTGAACAAAATGGCTTAGCCAAAAAACATGTAATGAGGAGAAAATCTTGCCAAAAGGTAAAAACTAAAGTTTACACCTGAAAATGACTTACCTTGGAAAACTGAGTGTAATTCTACATGTAGTATGAAGGGGGAGGGAAGGAAATGGATCTTTAGAATAGAGAATAACAAAGCATTACTGATGTAAAGACCAAACCAGTGCAGAAACTTTGAAATGCAAACATGGGAATTGAATAAACCTAGAAAGTTCTTTTGAGAAATATAAAATGAACGAACATGTTCCTCTGAACTTAGGGGGAGAAAGGGGAAAAAATAGATATCTCAAGATTTTCAGAGAAATGTGGAAAGCTTTCATTCTGTAGAGGAGTAGCTGCCCCCATCTAAGTGAAGCAGGAACAAATGGACAAGTTTCAAGCAGTAGGGGCCATGGTAATCAGTATTGCATGTATGTCCTACACATGTCTACTCTTCTCATTAAGGGTATATACATTTGTGGGAAAGTGAGATTTAAGTTTACGAGAACATTTTTTTTTATTACTATGTTGTTTCCTTAAATGTCTTTGCTTTGAATGAAGTATGTCCTATGGCAGACTATTAAAAGTAAATACACCACTGGGGGCTTGTGGACTACCGTATAGAGAAGATTCTGATCCACAATGTGCCTAGACCTGGGGTAGTTTTCTGGAGGTACACAGGTGAGAGGGTCCCTGGGTGCTACAGATAACATATCCATTACACATTCCAAATGTAATGTTGGGGCCTCTCCAATCCAGGGGAACTGGGGCAACTCCCTCTTTTCCATTTCTGTTAATTCCTCTGGGGAACACAGGGGTGGCTTTTACACAAACTGGCTCTTGGTAATCTCTGTTCGTACATAGAAACCTCAATAAAAAAAATTAAATACAATAAACATCGCAGGAAAAACAATCCTAGAATATGTGTCAATGACATGATTGTTCTTAAGAATGGTTCTGCCAACATTGCCTTTCAAAGACTTCTTCCTCTTTAGCTGAGCTGAATCAATGGTGGGGATGTAGGGATTTTTGCTGTTCACTGAATACTCTTCTGAATGTATAGAAAAGGAGGGCAGGTCAATATCAGTCTCACTGTCATGGTAACAACCATCAAATGACATTGCTTGTACTGCCTCAATGTTATACATTCCAGAAATCTGAAAAAAAAAGTTACAAAATGGAGCAAACAGATATATGGGACAATTACATGGATAAAAAAGTGTTCTAATAGGGGCATACATTCAACATTTTTGAAATGTCGTCTATGGGCAAGGCAACGATTTAGGCAACAGTGCCCTCAAGGACCTAATACTCTCTTAAGAAGAAATGTGTGTATTCACATGCATATATACACATATGTTTGTATGTACGTACATACATATACATATATGTACCCACATACATGCCTAAATTAAAACCTCTATTCCCTCAGCGCTGCTAATCTCAATGCTGTGTTAGGCAGAAAGAGATGTAACTATGTTCATGATCACTAAAGTATGAGTGACTGAAAACTCAACTCTCCCAGAGGCATTTGCTTTTTTTTAAAAAAAGAATATGCATGCTAGTTCAAATGAATCTGTGGTTGGTAAAATTTCAGGCAGTAGAATAAAGTAAAGTAAAAAATTCAGGCAGTGTTTGGGAAGATATTTTTGAAATGAAGAAGATTATAAACGGGTCAGCCTTGCCTGCCCCTTTAGCACTCAACCTCTTAGCATTGACATGGCCCTTCCACACTCCCTCTCAACATCTTGCTTCTTTAATTCCTGTTGTAGTGCACTGGCTAGAGTGCTGGACCTGGAGTCAGGAAGCCCTGAGTTCAAATCCAGCTCTCATATCCTTACTAGTTGTGAGACCCTGGGCAAGTTGTTTAACTTATCTGCTTCAATTTCCTCCTCTGTAAAATGGGGATGACAATAGTACTTACCTCTCTGGGTTGCTGAGAGAATAAAATAAGATAATATTTGTAAAATGTTTGCAAATCTTAAAGTGCTATATAAATCTTAGCTATTGTTATTACTACTATTATCTTTCATTTTAGCATAGTACTTTCATTAGGGGCAGTGAGGTGGCATAACGGATAGAGCACACTGAGCTTGGAATCAGAAAGACTCATCTTCATGAATTCAGATCTGGCCTCAGACACTTACTTGCTGTGTGACCCTGGGCAAGTCACTTCACCCTGTTTGCCTCAGTTTCCTCATCTGTAAAATGAGCTGGAGAAGGCAATGGCAAACCACTCCAGTATCTTTACCAAGAAAATCCCAAAACGGGGACATGAAGACTCAGGCACAACTGAACACACATAACCCTCCCCAATCTTGTTAAATTATATGTCACTTGAGGGTAGGTCTTGAATGCCTTTATACTTTCTACAGCACACAGAACAGATAAGAGGCATTTGATATATATTTACTGAATTAAGTTGAGTTGAATTCAGTTGCCTGGGAGTCTGTACCTTGAGTCAGCTGTCTCTGTATTCCATGAGAAGTACTATGATGTAACAGATAGTGTACTAGGCTTGGACTCTGGTAAACCTGAGTTCAAATCTTATTTAAGAATCTTATTAGCTGCGTGATCTAGGGCAAGTCACTTAGCCTTTAAGAGATTTTGGTTTCTCCATTTGCAAAATGGGGCTAATAAAACTTTCCTAACTTTCACGGAGGTATTTATTGTCAGGAAAGTACTGTGAAAACTAACTCTCTATATGAAGGCAAATTGTTATTTACATAATTTCTCTTCAGTTTCTAAGCTCAGAGATTATTTATATGACCCTTCCCTCAACCCCTCAACAGACATAAACTTATACACACTAACTCTTTTGGCAGTGGAATAGAAATGGCAAAGACGGGGCAGCAGTACCCCATTTGGCATTTCATGGGATTTATGCCTTATTACCCTCTATTTATTACTTTATTACCTTCATTTTTACAGATGAGCAAACTGAGGCCCAAAGATGTTAAGCGACTTTCCCATGGTTTCTAGGTAACAAGTGTCAGAGCCAGGATTTGAATCCAGGTCCTTTGACTCCAAATCTATTGTTCTAATTTACTGTACAGCTATGCTTTATCGAGTAAGCCATAGAAAATGACCATCCATCTTAGAGTAGCTGGTTGAGTTTTGGAGAAATTATAGGGTCATGATCTTGGCTTTGCCTCTTGCAACCTGGGTAATGTTGAGCAGATCACTTAAGCTTTCTGTGCTTCTGTTTCCTTATATTTTGAAGTCCTCTTTGGATTAGACAACTTTTGGGGTCCTTTCCAGATCTCTGTCTATGATTCTCCAAATTTATAAGTTACTATAAAGAGAGAAAGAGGTGAGATGACTAATACATTCAAAGGGCTTGATTATTCTCCTTCGAGCCTAGGAATCTGATTATCTTCTTTGTATGCAATGAGGAAAAGACAAAATTCAAGGGTTATTGTTCAGTCATTTCAGTGGTATACTGACTCTTAGGGACACCATTTTGGGTTTTCTTGGCAAAGATACTGGAGTGGTGTGCCATTGCCTTCTCCAGTTCATTTTACAGATTTGGTAACTGAGGCAAAGAGGGTTAAGGAACTCGCCCAGGGTCACATAGCTGGTAAGTATCTGAGCCAAATTTGAACTCAGGAAGATCAGTCTTCCTGACTCCAGGTCTAGTGCTCTATTCAGTGGACAGGGTATTGAATTTTCAGTCAAAGGAATTAGGTTCCAATCCCACTTTAACTTACTACTTCTGTGACCTTGGGTAAGTCCCTTTACCTCCCTTGGCCTCAGTTCCTTCACTGGCAAAATGAGGAGCATGGCTTCAGAAGTACCATTTAGCTCCTGGTCTACGATTCTTTAATTTTAAAATCTCTACCTTCACTATTTCCTCCCCTCTTCTAGTGAGCGTGAAGCAAAAAATAAGCCCTGAAGACATTGATCTATTAGAAGATGAATGAAATTGGATTTACTTTTTTTGTTAGCCAGCTCTTCCACTTCTACTCCAGAACACATTTCAAGAGGTGGACTGTTCATGGATGAGGGAAGAGTAATCCTCCCTGATCAAACCAGGATGCTAAAGGACTCCTAGCGCATGCTTATATCAGCAATGGGCCTCAATTTATTTTCTTGAGGGAGCAAAGGCTTAACATATTGGGCTTATGATGTCAGTCAGAGTTTGGATGTGAGACTGGACTTTTTCAAAAAGAATCACACAGGAAAAACAAATATGTGAGGCTGTACCTTGCCCCTCTTTTTAAATTGCTTCCTTTCTTCCACTGTGGTGAGGTAATTCACTGCTGCATACTCAATGACGGACAGTAACAAAAAGAGAAAACTGACCCATAAGTAAATATCCACAGCTTTGATATAAGACACCTGAGGCATTGAGGCACTGGCTCCAGTGATAACAGTGGACATTGTCAGCACAGTAGTTATACCTGCCAAGTCAAGGAGAATAAATTATAAATCCAATGAAGTAAGGTCATAGTATCTAAGCCAACTAGGTGGTGCAGGGGTTAGAGTTCTGGGCCTGCAGTCAGGAAGACCTAAGTTTGAGTCTGGCCTCAGACATTTTCTAGCTATATGCTCGGGCAAGTCTCTTAACCTCTCTCAGCCTTAATTTCCTTAACTGTAAAATGGGGATAAATAAAGGACCTATCCTGCAGGGAGAAATAATATTTGCAAAATGCCTGGCACTACATAAGTTGTGTTTCCTTGTTCCTTAACATAGATTCAGGGCTGGAAAGGACCTTAGAAATCATCTAGTCATTTTTCAGATGAGGAAACTGAGGCAACAAAAGGTACAGTGATATGTTCAAAGTCACATGACAATTTTTAAAGCCAGATGTTCTTACCTGAAATTCAGCACTTTTCCATAGTAAGTAATAATAGAACCTCTTGAACCTTATACTTGATTAATCCAAGTAACCAATTTCTTGTTTATAGCCTGACTATTTTTAAAGCAGTAATAGCTAACTAATAAATAAGTAAAATAATAGCTGAAAACAAATTTGAGCTAATTTTAAAGCATGTATTTATTAAATCTAAATTCAAGATCTTTCTGCCTCTCTTTACTTATCTCTTGTTCTCTTTTGTCATCCTTTCCCCCCACTTCTCTTGATCAGGGATGATTAGCTAGGTGCTAGGAATTCAGGGATAGTAACCACAGAAAAGCTGCTCTCAAGTAACTTATTACTTTAAAAAATGGAGGTGAGGAGACACCTACATAAATAACTATGATATGAGTGAAAGCTTGAAAAGTGCAAAGGAGATCAGATAAAATGCAATGAGAAATTTGGAGATGGAAAAGTCAATCACCTGGGGTCAAGGGATGTCAGAGAAGGCTTAAATGGCAGCTAAGATAGGCCAGGAAGGAAGGAAAGTGATGAGGATGTTGCATTAAAGGCTTCAAGGGACAGTGTGAACAAAGCTATGGATAAAGGAGATGTCAGAATGAGAATGGAGGGATGGAATGTCTTCCAATTTTGTGGTTAAACAGACTTTATTAAAGGAAGTGGTACAAGAGACAGCAAGATGACTCAGTGGTTGGGGTGCTGGCCCTGAAGTCAGGAGATCTGAGTTCAAATCTAACCCTGACCCTACTAGCTCTGTGACTCTGGGCAAGTCACTTAATCTCTGTTTTCCTTAATCCACTGGAGAAGGAAATGCCAAACCACTCCAGTATCTATCTTTGCTGAGAAAACCCCACAGACAGCAATGGAGTGTTCTGGTCCACAGGGTCATAAAGAGTTGGACACAACGGAACAACAGCATGAGATAAGACTGAAAAGGTAGATTAGAGTGAGATTGTGTGTGTGTGTGTGTGTGTGTGTGTGTGTGTGTGTGTGTGTGTGTGTGTGTGAGATATGTTTGGGAATTGAGGAATTTGTGGGAATTGAGTGAACCACAGTGACTTCACCTTGTGATTAAATTCTGAATCTAGGTCAGTTCCTTTTCTATTTAATTATGGGTCTAGTCCAATTTCTCTCTTGTGAGAAAACTTTGTTCAATTTTGGGAATTATGAGAAAACTTTACTTGTATTCTTTGAACCCAACCCTGTGTGGTTGGGAAGCTGGACCACCTCTACCTTTTGCTTAGAGACCCTTAACTAAAGACCAAGATTGTGCTGACCAGAAACTCAGTCAGATCTAAAGATGCAAGGAGTTTGTTCACAATTATTCAACTCAGGCGACCCATATGTCTTATCTGAAGACTGGCCCTGTACTGGTCAATCAGTTGCTGTTTCCTTGTTCCTTTGAATGAATATAGACATTTGGGGGGGAATGTAACACCTCTTTTTCTTATTTCAGGGAATTGCACTTGTTCACTCAGTCTTCTCTACCCCAACTTGGAAAGCCTCTAATCTTTCTTTTAATTAAAAATCAGATTACCTAACATTGTATCCTGATTTATATCCTGTTAATTGTCTTCTTTTTATGCACAAAAATATGTCTTCTCCTATATTCAAGGTCCAGTGCCAATCTGAGTGGGCCTGATCCAGATTTGTTGTGCAACGGGCATCCATCATTTAATAAATTGATATGCTTGGAAGCTTGAACCTTTATTTCCTCAGTCATTTCAATTAATCCATATGTCACAGAAAGAGGGTCTCAACAACCAGCATCAATGGTTTATACTTAAAATATAAATAACATTTTCTGAGTATTCGTGTTACACAGTAATTATTTGATTAGATTCTGGCTGGCATATTTTAAATGTATTAAGTCTCCATGAAGAAAGTACAAATGGGATCTTTAGTGACTTTTCAAGTAGTATGAAATCCAAATAGCAGAATGAACCCTAACTGCACAGATCCAGCATGAACATCACTAACTACTACTCACGTCACTTCTGACCCTCAAAACAGTTCTGTGAGATTTCCATTCAAGTCACACATTGAAAACAAAAGTATCTGTACAAAGCCATTGCAGTTTTCCATTTCTTTACTTCCTCATTTTTTTCCAAGAAAAAAAAAACAACAAACCAAAACAACAACAACAACAACAAAAACAAACCAAAACCAAAAACACCAAAACCTCTCAATTCTCTCATTATCCTGGTACGCTAGTGACCCAAGATCCTCTGGTGAAGCATGAGTTTTTGTAGGTTCTATGAAGCTTGTAAAGACTTTGAGCACAGTCCAAGTGATCTGTCTGTTGTCTAAGAATAAGCCCAACTAAGTACCTGAGAGTCTCATTGCCAGCTAGCTGACTGCTAGGTGACAGATTCTTTGGTCATGGAATCCCAAGAAACCTGTCAAGTCAACAAGCATTTGCTAAACATTTACTACAGCCAGGCATTGTTAAACAAAGAAAAAACTTCATGTATCATAATAGTAAGCATTTATGTAGCACTTCAAGATTTGCAAAATACTTCATGTGTTGTTTCCTTTGGTCCCACAACCCTAGGAGGTAGGTGCTATTGTTATGCTCATTTTATAGAGGAAGAAACCGAATCTGAGAGAAAGTTAAGTGACTTACCCAAGGTCACACAGCTAGTTAAGTATGTGAGGCAGGATTTGAGCTTAGTTTTTCCTGACTCTAAGTCCAGTTCTCTGTCCACTATGCCACCTAGCTATCTCAACACAGTGATGACAACACAACACAATTTATGTAATATGAAACTGGCAAATGGTCATAGTATTTTCCCCAGGTTCTTTTTCACTAACGTACTCTGAGCAGAAGAGTAGAAAACCTGAGTGACATTTTTATCTCTGCTATTGGTTAGCTCGATGTCCATCGGGGCCTTATTTTCCTTCTTTCAGGTAGGGATAACCATTACAAGGCAACTAAATCCTTTACTTCACAGTACTTGATACACACATACACACATACACACACACACACACACACACACACGCGTTTGTTTGTTTTACCCAGATCTATGATTTCATTGGTGAAAGAAGCTTAAGGTGAGGAAACTTCTGTCAGTATGATCAGCACCTATTCCCTAGTAGAAAGTTCCAGAGAGTTTCCTTTGACCATTGAGAGGCTAAGAGACTTTCTCAGCACCACTCAGTATTCATCAGGGGCAGGATTTGAAGCTAGGCCTTTTTAATTCCAAGGACCATTCTGTATCCACATCATGCTACCTCCTTATTTTTAATGGCTAGTAATATAATTCTCAATGGGTAAATAAATGGTTTACAATACAGAGGCTTCCACGTCAGAGAAGTCTTATCTCATGTGTTACAAATTAATGAGAGTTGGTCCAACAAAAAAAATGGCATTATCTACATCTCCCAGAGATCAATGAAGCTGCAGCCATTTTCTTTTGTAAGGGTGTTTAAATCAACTCATTTATGTTGGCTTAAATGTATATATTTATTTTAAATGAGCATTCCAGGTCCTAGCCCCATTTCCTTTTTTTCAAAAGTTAATTAAAATTAATTAGATGAGCAGGGAGGAGTGAATAAGGGGGTTACCTTGCTAGGAAATAATGAATTATGAGAACACTCAAATATAGATTCCTAGAGCAATAGGTCTAGGGCTTGAGAACATTATAGCTCCATTAGACATATTTATGGGTCTCTAGCCACTTCTTAGAGATACATTAATCTTGAAAAATAGTATTCCTTTCAAAACCATTAGAGTTAATCTCCCATCAAAAGAATTTTGAATGATCCAAACTGATCATGTACTGAAGAAAGGTTTTCTCTTAGGATCAGAAGCTACTTTTCCAATTCACTTAAAACGTATTTGGTAAAAGTATTTTGTAAAAGTCAAGTCATTTGGACTATAGCTTTGTCTTCTTTAGTGGATAGAGTATTGGAGTCAAGAAGACCTGGATTCTAATCCTACCTCTGACACTTCCCAGCCACATGATCATAGGCTTTCACAACCTTTCTGTGCCTTAGTTTCCATTTCTATAAAATAGTGTTAATAATGCCTATAAGTACCTACTTCACAGGGTTATTGTGAGGTGCAAATGAGAGAATGTATGAAATGCATTGTGCAAACCTTAAAGAGCTAGATAAATGTCAGTCAATACTGCTGTTGCTGTTGTTGCTGCTGCTGCTACTACTACTACTACTACTCTATTACTATTACTATAAGTATTTCATTGTTGTTGAGTCATTTTTCAGTTGTGTCTGACTCTTCATCACCTCATTTGGAGTTTCCTTGGCAAAGATACTGGAGTGGTTTGCTACTACTACTACTACTACTACTACTACTACAACTATTACTGTGACTACTACTACTATTACTACTACTGCTATTACAACTGTTACTACTCCATAGCAATTACTACTGCTATGGCTACTACTATTACTATGGCTACTACTACTACTGCTATTATTACTACTACTACATTACTATTACTGTAGCTATTTTGTTGTTGTTATTGTTGTTCAGGCATTTTTCAGTTGTGTCTGACTCTTCATGACCTGATTTGGTGTTTCCTTGGCAAATTTGTCAAAGATACTGGAGTGGTTTG